ATATGTTTCACTCAATATGCATCCGAAGAAGTGGGTTGTAGCCCACGAAAGCTTATGCTCTAATAAATTTGTTAGTCTCTAAGGTGCCACAAGTACTCCTGTTCTTTTTGTTTGTTTATAGTACCAATGACAGGCTGAAGAAGTGTCCCTGGCATTTGGAGAAGGTGGGGAGGTTTGTGATGGTCCGTAGTTCCAGATCGGTAATTCCACAGTCTCAGACCGCCTTTGAGACAGTCTGTCTCCTGTATAGACGAGCTTTTCCCCTAAATAAAAAAAAATTAAATTTAACAGAGATATCCTATCTCCTAGAACTGGAAGGGACTTGAAAGGTCATTGAGTCCAGCTCCCTGCCTTCCCTTGCAGAACCAAGTATTGATTTTTCCCCCGATCCCTAAGTGGCCCCCTCAAGGATTGAACTCACAACCCTGGGTTTAGCAGGCCAATGCTCAAACCACTGAGCTATCTCTCCCCTGTTTCCCTGTCATAGAAAGTTCCATTGTACCTGAGAAGTGGAGTTGTCAACCATGTTCTTCATCCTGATGCGCAATTAAAAAATCCTGGGTCTCTGCCAAGATGTCAGTATTTCTGCTAATTTTCTTCCTGACCTCTAGCCAGGTCACTATATCATCCCCCTGTTCTGGGGTAACAATGTCCCTCCAGACAAGCTGTTAGTATGTCATCTCAGGCAGTCTTCTCTTCCAATTGCAGGTCTTGTGCCACTTTGACAGTGGCTGGTAGGGCAGCCCCAGCTCACCTACTCCTTAGTTCCAGCCCAGGGACCCTGTGACTAGCAACCTAGATCTGTTCAATCTAGGACTCTGTTGCTGTTTCCCAGGGCTCCTACTCCACCTCCCTATCTCCTTGCCTATCTCTGGTTTATCTCCGGAGGTTCCTGTGCTCTCTATAGCTAATATACCCTTATGAGGCTCTTACTGGAACCCCCAGTCTAGGGCAGGACCCCAGGCTTACTCTCCACCTGGATCTCGTCCTTTCTTTTTCCAGCCCTATTTATTTTGACACAAATATACAAGGCCTGATCCTGCAGGGAGCTGAGTATCTCCAACTCCCATTGAGCACACAAGAGGTGCTCAGCCATACGGTACAGTAGTATCTACCGCACTAAGTATCCAACTAGAGCGCACCGGTGCTCCAGATTCTGAATTTGATCCTCTCTGGATGGAGGCTCATGGGTGTAGTGTGTGTTTTTACAGGAACCTTACAATATGGAGAGAATCTTGTGGCTGCTTTCGGACTGTGATGGCAGCTTGATTAAAACTCTGATGGAACAGTTTTACACATCGAAAAACCTTACACTCCCAGAAGAATTGCACAGAAAGGTCAGTCCCTTCATGTGTGTTTAGTAAATACTTTTCCATCACAATTTTTTTAAATCAACTGTTTTCAGAATAAATATTAATATTGCAAGTGTATTGAAGGGATCATGCTATGTCGTCTCAGATCTAAAATGTAGGTATCTGTAGGTAGGGTGGTGGAAGACAGGCGTTTACAAAACCTGTGTGCATAGGTATGTTGTCAAATAATCCTTTTTTTAAACATTACAATTATTTTGTTGGGATTTAAACATTCGCCTGCAGCCCTAGAAACCCCAGTCCAATAGCATGTGCATTATTTGTACTTAGGACCAAACCTCTCCCTGACAATGTAATTTCACTGTCCAACACCCTGAGCCAGCAAAGCTTTTAATCAAGTGCGTAACTTTAAATTTGTGAGTGTTTGTATGGATTTCTGTGGGACTATATGCATGCTTAACCTTTTAAGCAAGAGCTTTGGTGAATCAGGCATCAGGCTGGGAGAAATACAAAAAGGAGAAAAATCAAAGGTGAAAGGTAAACTAATGGTTTCAATGTTTATCTCCATGGGAAAGAAATACTAGCAAAGTCCTTGTTAAATCATAAAAGATATATATTATTGCACCCATCACATACAGTAGGGTTTGGGATCGATGTCCTCAAATACCGGCATCAGTTGCATTGTGTCCGCCAACAAAGTGCATTTATTAACTGACGTAGCTGGGTGTGCAAAAACCCTGCATAGGCTGGACTGACTCTGATGATGATATAAATAAATGTCTGACAGAAGTACCCGTCTCTCTTGTATTCAAGATACTAACAAATAAGAAGGTCTTACATACAAGTGGTAACATCACAGAATGAACTTTTAATACATTTTTTTTAAAAATGATTTGACATTGTTCTGTAAATTGTATTGTGGCTTTTGTTTTTGATTGTTTTGGTTTTGGCTCCATTTTTTCCCTCTCCTTGGTTCTCCAGCTTTCTGAAGTGCTGAGCTCATGTTCCGCATCTGATGAAGACATTGTTCAAGCAATGAGACGCTGTTGGGAAGAAAATCGCTACCTGTTATGTCCCCACTCAGCTGTGGCTGTTCACTACCATTATAAGCAGTTGGACTGCCATCTCAGCAAGTAAGAAGCTACTAATGGAAGGCCAGATTCCTTTCAGGAAGTGGCTAACACCACGGGTGATCTTATGAGAGAGCTTCTTGGGTGGAGGGCATCCGTAAAGGGCCCTAATTTTTAGTAGGAGATTTTGGCATTCTGCTTTTGATCAAGTCTTTCCAATTCTTTGAGGAGGCTGTTTGACACTGATGATGCACATGTTGTTGGCAGTAGGATAATTTTGGTTATAATTGTTCAGTGAGAGGCAGTGTTTAAAGAGAGGTGTAACACACATGTTTGAGGCTGGAGCTTGGCTAGCTGGCCTGGGATTATGGGCTAGAATCAGCTGTTGCTTTCACTCAGGCTGGTATCCCACCCACTTTGTAGTGAGGATGCAGGCTAAACCACTCGAGTGCTGATAGTCCTCACTGCTTCCCCACAGTCCCTCCCACCCCGCGTGCCCAGAAGAAGGGACAAGTTCTCCCACCGTTCACTGAAAGAGAATCATAGAGCCACTCGATTTACCTCAGCACAAGGAACCATGGGAGTTTTAGCAACACACATGTAAGAAGGCAGCACCCATGAGGACAACTACACTATAAAGCCAGGGCCGAATTACTGTATCCTCACTGGTGCTGCTCGCTTGTTTGTATGTTGCTAAAACTCAGGCTAGGCTAACCTCATTGGCTGCATGACATCCAGCTGGCCTGCCTCTGAACCACATCCAGGAAACATCTGTACACGCTTGTGCTTGATACTGTTTATTTCCTCGCTCTTGTGTCCTGCCCTGACACCAAGTGGTGGGACTTATTGCCACCTGAAGAGGTGAGGAACCCCAGCACCTCCACTCTAGTCCCACGGCCCTCCAGGGATAGAAGCTGGTAGCTCCTTCATGGAGCCATGAGAATGGGCGTGTACTTGGTGTGGTTCGTGAACTCCCCTGACTCCTGTTCCTTCTGCAGAAAGAGGGAGATCCTGGCTCACATCAGCATGGGTGCATCAGGTTGTAGCCTCTCTTCCAGCTCCTTCATAACCTCTTACTGAGGTTGTGGCTGCACTTTTTCCTGCACCTCTTGATCCAATCAGACCCCATTTGTGCCCCACAGAGTTGCAGGACCTTCTTGTCAACTTCCTCCTGGCACTGGCCAGGTCGACCATCCATCACACTGGGAGGAGGAAGCTGGACAAGGGGCACTCTGCAACCATGGGGCCTATTTCTGTTCCCATCTCAGATCAGACCTCTGGGCACAGTTCCTCTGGGAACTTTAGAAAGTCCATTGACTTCTAAGATACCTTTGAGGAGCCCTGGGCACTGTCTGGAGTTCTCTGCTCAGTGTCCCCCTCTGGCTTCCTCGTTATTAACCTTTGACCCCGCTCCTGTTTTCTCTTTAATTTTCCCCAGAAATCACTAGTAGCCTAGGCTTGGTGGTTCTGCCCCTTTAGCTGAGGGGGTGGGCCTTTTATTTGGGTGGGTCTACACCCAACTGACCCCAGAACTACTAATAGTACACGACATCCTATGTCTCTCTTTCGCAGCAGACCCAGGTGCTGCTTAGCATCTGCCTCGGCAGCAAAGTTCCCGGATGCCGTGCTCAGAGCAAAGCTTGTTCCTGAAGTTCCACCTGAGATCCAAGCTTTAAACGCGATGGAGACCAGGTCCACAACACTGAGGAGAGAAGACGACTGGGCAAGAACCCTAAGAGACAGAATAGAAGCCATCGCCAAGCGCAGACACACATAGGTGGAGTTCATCTGATCCTGAATAGTGCCATACCTGGGCAGTTCCATATAAAAGACAAGGCTTGACTTAATGATGCTTAAGCTTTCTGATGATTTCCCTTCCTAGGAAAGTCCTAATGAACTCAATTGAGGATTATAATGTTTCCACATAGCATGTAACCAAAGCGATAGAATTCTGTAACAGGAATATAATTCCCAATCGAATTCCATAGAATGTTTTTAAAAAATTTTAGAAAGGCTCTGCCTGCCAAATTCTATAGGGTTTTTAGAGTAACGTTGATAGAATCCTGTTTAAAGTCTCTGGACCCATATAGCTTTTATCCCTGTTAACCCTTATGGAAAAGTTCTTTCACATTTATCTTCCAAGTGCCTTACAAACAGGAATTATTATCTGACTAAGGCTTTACACAATTATTACAATCCCATATCTTTCCTTCCCTAGGAAAAAATCCCTAAAGGAATTTAATATAAATTGCTGTAATGATTTTTTTTCCTGAACAGTTATGTTGTAATTTGATTAAGTAATAAAAATGAACTGCTGTCCAAAGTACACAAAATAAAATCAGTGCTGAATTCTGGCTACTGTATCCATTTTTTGATATCTTGATAATGCTGAATTTATCATTTTCTTTAACTGTCCACCAGAGGGCACTGCAACCTAATTTCCCCCCCCATATTTTAAAATAGATCATAAATTGAAAGAGTGCTCAACGGTTGTCACCTGCATACTGTTCAACGAGCCATTGAGAGTCTTTGGAGACTTGGATCTCCATTTAGGTGAACAAAAAATGCCAGATGATGCTTCAACAATATTTCCAGGGACTAATCTTCACAATTCAATATGTGAATTTTTCCATGGGCAATTCCATGCCTTATTTTCATGCACAGACATTCAGTGCCTGCAGATGGGGTACTTGCACCGTCGGTAATGCTGCTAACTGGCCATTTGCATGCACAAATAGTGGAGGTGCACAGGCAGTTGGGGTAATAGGGCACACAGGCTAGGCAGGCAATTTGGCACTTGCGAATGTGGGCAACTAACTTAAATGTGGAATAAGTCACAACTCTGAAAATAACAGGGGGTAGCCAAACAATAAAACTCTCCGTGTGGGGGGGATGAAGCCATTCTGCATTCAAAGAGGAGAAGCTGTTTCAGTTAAGGGAAGGTAGGTGCTGTGGATGCTGGGGAGAGGATTTTTTGTCCTTAAAATGTGGATGCGTGTGTTACCAGAACAAAACAAAAACCGAACCCAACCTCCAACAGGTATATTTTAATTTATGGAGCACCCAAGGCTTGTAGTAACTTCATGAACTCAAGCATGGTTTGATGTCACCATCGCCTGTTGATGGGAATATAGTCTTGTGTGCGTCCACGTGGAAGACAAATGATAGTGCAATTGCAATGTACACTTGCAGAACTCAAATTTTCCCTGAGGTGTTGACCATCTCTCCAGCTCATTTCTTTTACCTGTACAAATATAGCACAGCTTCTTGTATGAACAATCTTAGAATCATAGAAGATAAGGGTTGGAAGAGACCTCAGGAAGCCATCTAGTCCAACCCCCTGCTCAAAGCAGGACTAACCCCAACTAAATCATCCCAGCCAGGGCTTTGTCAAGCCAGGCCTTAAAAACGTCTAAGGATGGAGATTCCACCACCTCCCTAGGTAACCCATTCCAGTGCTTCACCACCCTCCTAGTGAAATAGTTTTTCCTAATATCCAACCTAGACCTCCCCCACTGCAACTTGAGGCCATTGCTTCTTGTTCTGTCATCTGCCACCACAGAGAACAGTCTAGATCCATCCTCTTTGGAATCCCCCTTCAGGTAGCTGAAGGCTGCTATCAAATCCCCCCTCACTCTTCTCTTCTGCAGACTAAATAAACCCAGTTCCCTCAGCTTTTCCTCATAAGTCATATGCCCCAGCCCCCTAATCATTTTCGTTGCCCTCTGCTGGACTATCTCCAATTTGTCCACATCCTTTCTGTAGTGGGGGCCTCAAAACTGGATGCAGTACTCCAGATGTGGCCTCACCAATGCCGAATAGAGGGGAATAATCACTTCCCTTAATCTGCTGGCAATGCTCCTACTAATGCAGCCCAATATACCGTTAGCCTTCTTGGCAACAAGAGCACACTGTTGACTCATATCCAGCTTCTCATCCACTGTAATCCCCAGGTCCTTTTTCTGTAGAACTGCCGCTTAGCCAGTCAGTCCCCAGCCTGTAGCAGTGCATGGGATTCTTCCATCCTAAGTGCAGAACTCTGCACGTGTCCTTGTTGAACCTCATCAGATTTCTTTTGGCCCAATCCTCCAATTTGTCTCGTTCACTCTGGACCCTATCCCTACCCTCCAGCATATCTACCTCTCCCCCCAGCTTAGTGCCATCCGTGAACTTGCTGAGGGTGCAATTAATCCCATCATCCAGATCATTAATGAAAATGTTGAACAAAACCAGCCCCTGGCCCAACACCTGGGGCACTCTGCTTGATACCGGCTGCCAACTAGACATCGAACCGTTGATCACTACCCACTGAGCCCAATGATCTAGCCAGCTTTCTATCCACTTTATAGTCCATTTATCCAATCGATACTTTTTTAACTAGCTGGCAAGAATACTGTGGGAGACTGTATCAAAAGCTTTGCTAAAGTCAAGGTATATCATGTCCACCGCTTTCCCCATAACTGGCTCTGTGGATATCTCATTATAGAAGGCAATCAGGTTGGTCAAGCATGACTTGCCTTTGGTGAATCCATGTTGACTGTTCCTGATCACCTTCCTCTCCCCAAGATGCTCCAAAATGGATTCCTTGAGGACCTGCTCCATAATCTTTCCAGGGACTGAGGTAAGGCTGACCGGTCTGTAGTTCCCCAGATTCTCCTTCTTCCCCCTTTTTAAAGATGGGCACTATATTTGCATTTTTCCAATCATCCAGGACCTCCCACAATCGCCACGAGTTTTCAAACATAATGGCCAATGGCTCTGCCATCACATCAGCCAACTCCCTCACAGGAACTTATACAATGTATAACTGCATTGAAGATTTCAGGTTGGAAGCTGGAAGCTTTGGCAGCTGGACAGATTTTTTTTTTTTTGGTCAGCGTGGGAGTATGTGGAGTTGGTTTGGAATTAGAACTAGGGAGGTCCTGGTCTTGGCTCCAGATGAGATTTAATTGAGTTTTGCAGCTAAAACAGGGATTCCACCTCTCTGTTAATATCGTGTATCCTCCCCCAATTTACTGCGCTTGGACCCCAATTCCGGAAAGCAGTTAAAAGCATATGCTTTGCTTTAAGCCCATGTGAAGTGCTTTCTTGATTCAGAGAATTACTCTACTTAATTGTATGGGAATTTACAAATAAATCTGTCAATTAGCTTGAGTTAAAATTAATTGAAAAATTAGTCCGTTTGGTAATTTGATTCTTTTGTTCTGAATTATAGTAATAAGAGAATAACATAGGGCGGGTCTACACTACAATCTTTTGCCAATGCAAGTTGCATGGGCATAAAGCCACCACAGTTAATATATCACTTGTGCGTGTATGTACTTGGCCCCTTGCATGGCACAGTGCGTACTCTCCAGAAGCGCTTGTATTGATTCACAGTGTGGTGCACCATGGGTAAGTATCCCAGGGTGCAACTCACCACCATCCAGTGCACTGACTTTTGGGAAGTTCTGGCAATGCATGATGGGGCAGAAACGAGTTGCACAGGGATGGCTGGGACTGCAGAGTCAAGCTCCCATCCTGCAACTTTCTGCACCCCATAATGCCACCTCTAGCCCATAATTTTCACTCCTATTTTGAAAATCCCATGAACCTGTGCAGGATTTGTCGCTGGCCACTATCTCTGACAGAAGCATGGAGCCTGCACAGGTCTGCACTGTTGTCATGAGCATTGCAAGCACAGGACGCCTTCTCCTATTTGCAGAGCTGCTGGAAGACCTGTGAGGAACATGACGATTTCCTGGAGGGCAGTTTGCTGTGGGATTTAGCAAGAACCAAGTCAAGGCTAGTGATGACATTCGCATAACAGCTGCAAACAGTGGAGCCTGAGAAACCAGCATTGACTGGTGGGATTGTAACTCACACACCTCCTGAGTGTGGTGTTCTGTCCCCTCTAGCAGCACTGAGACCACTCAGGAGTGAAATCAGGAAGGTCAAATCACACTTGGAGTTGCAGCTAGCAAGAGATGTTAAAAGTAACAAGAAGGGTTTCTTCAGGTATGTTAGCAACAAGAAGAAGGTCAAGGAAAGCGTGGGCCCCTTACTGAATGAGGGAGGCAACCTAGTAACAGAGGATGTGGAAAAAGCTAATGCACTCAATGCTTTTTTTGCCTCTGTCTTCACGAACAAGGTCAACTCCCAGACTGCTGCACTGGGCAGCACAGCATGGGAAGGAGGTGACCAGCCCTCTGTGGAGAAAGAAGTGGTTCAGGACTATTTAGAAAAGTTGGAGGAGCAGAATTCCATGTGGCCAGATGCGCTGCATCCGAGGGTGCTAAAGGAGTTGGCGGATGTGATTGCAGAGCCATTGACCATTATCTTTGAAAACTCATGGAGATCGGGGGAGGTCCCAGATGACTGGAAAAAGACTAATGTAGTACCCATCTTTAAAAAAGGGAAGAAGGAGGATTCAGGGAACTATAGGCCAGTCAGCCTCACCTCAGTCCCCGGAAAAATCATGGAGCAAGTCCTCAAGGAATCAATTCTGAAGCACTTAGAGGAGAGGAAAGTGATCAGGAACAGTCAGCATGGATTCACCAAGGGCAAGTCATGCCTGACTAACCTAATTGCCTTCTATGATGAGATAACTGGCTCTGTGGATGAGGGGAAAGCAGTGGATGTGTTATTCCTTGACTTTAGCAAAGCTTTTGATACGGTCTCCCACAGTATTCTTGCCGGCAAGTTAAAAAAATATGGGCTGGATGAATGGACTATATAAGATGGATAGAAAGCTGGCTAGATCGTCGGGCTCAATGGGTAGTGATCAATGGCTCCATGTCTAGTTGGCAGCCAGTATCAAGCGGAGTGCCCCAAGGGTCGGTCCTGGGGCTGGTTTTGTTCAATATCTTCATTAATGATCTGGAGGATGGTGTGGACTGCACCCTCAGCAAGTTTGCAGATGACACTAAACTGGGAGGAGTGGTAGATACGTTGGAGGGTAGGGATAGGATACAGAGGGGCCTAGACAAATTAGAGGATTGGGCCAAAAGAAATCTGATGAGGTTCAACAAGGACAAGTGCAGAGTCCTGCACTTAGGATGGAAGAATCCCATGCACTGCTACAGACTAGGGACCGAATGGCTAGGCAGCAGTTCTGCAGAAAAGGACCTAGGGGTTACAGTGGACTAGAAGCTGGATATGAGTCAACAGTGTGCCCTTGTTGCCAAGAAGGCTAACGGCATTTTGGACTGTATAAGTAGGGGCATTGCCAGCAGATCGAGGGACATGATCATTCCCCTCTATTTGACATTGGAGAGGCCTCATCTGGAGTACTGTGTCCAGTTTTGGGCCCCAGACTACAAGAAGGATGTGGAAAAATTGGAAAGAGTCCAGCGGA